ACTTTGGCGGCGCCCTGCGCCCGCGCCCCGGGCGGCTGGGAACGGGCGGCCGGGGCGGTGGGGGGCGGGGAGGGGAGAGAACCGGGCGATCCGGGGCGCGGGGAGGACAGACCCTCCCCCGCGCCGCCTGCCCAGTCGGGCTGGACTCGCGCCGCCCGCGCCTGGACCCGGGTTTGAAGCCGGGCGTGGGGGCGCTAGGGGCCCCCGGAGGCCCAGCCCCGGGCTCGTCCTTCATCAGCCACGCGTGGGGCTTGCCGCCGGGGCAGGCGGGCGAGCTGCCTACTTTTCGATTTGAATCGAGTCGGTTTTGGTTTCCTGTTGCTCTGGGGGCCATTTCTCTCTCTCCTCGCCTCTGGCCCGCGCCGGGGGCGGATGTTGGGGCGCGGAGTGTGGGGTCCCGGACGTCGCGTTGCCTTTACGGAGCTCTGCGGGGCGCGGTGGGCAGTGGGGCGCCGGGCGGACCGGCCTTCTCCCCATTTAGGAGAGTTCGCGAAGGGCCAGGCGGGAGGCGCGGACCGAGGGGTCTCCTTCCCACGCCTGATCGCTGCCCCCATGCCGGCTCATAGACAGTTTGGCGTGGGCGGGGGGGGGGGGGTGTGTGCGGAACACCCCGCCGCGACTGACTGGTGGGACTTTGACTTTTCGGAGTTCAAGTTTGGAAATCTTGCGAGAGTGGAGAGGGACCCGGAGAAGGAGCGCTTACCCCTCTCTCCACTTCGCATGGAGGAATCTAGTGGTGATTCCTTTCTATCTTCTCCAAAAAGTTGGAGGGGAGAATTAGATCCCCACTTCCAGAAGGTGGGGTTCCAAGTCACACCCCCTCCGCGCCCCCAGGAGGGGCTTCCTTTACACAGCGCTGGTAAAATGGGGAGGGGGCCACCTTATTAATGCCTTCTTGGGAATGGGGCCAAATTCCTTCCAAATGGGGCTCCTTCACCCCCCTCCCCTGGATGTAGCTGAGGATGCCTGCCCGAGGGAGCAGGTATTGGGTGTCCTGGAGGCGGGGCCAGGTCCCTGAGGTGCAGCCCCGGTGCCCCAGGAGGCGGCCCTGGTGACAATGGGCTGCTCTGATTCCGTAGCTGGCGCTTTGTTGGCGGGCGGGGCGTTGGGCTTTGCAGCTGTCGCTTTTTCCCACGAGCTGGGGGGGGTGGGGGGTGGGGAGTGTGCCCCCCCAGCACCGCCCCCTCACAGAACATGTTTGAACAGCCAGACAATCTTGGTGGCTGGATAGGGGCCGTGGCCCCGTTGGGCTCCCCATTGAAGATAGGTGGGGGGGGGGGTGCAGAGTTTGGGAGAGCCGCCCAGGGTCACCTCAGCTTTCCTCTACTGTTGTCCAGATGTCATTTCAGGCCACCCTTACCCACTCTGAGCGTGACCTGTCCACCTGCCGGCCAGCCAACCTGTTGTCCCTCCCCCCATTTCTGACTGTCAGAACTCTGGGCAGAACGTCAAAGCCCCTTGGGGTTCACGTTTGGGAGGGTTCGTGAGGTCTCCTGTCCCCAGCAACCCCATGACAAGGCAGAGCCTTCTGGGTGAGGGGTGGCTGTGTCCCTTGGGGTGGGTCCTTCCCTGGGCTCAGGGCCCCAGTGCCACCTGGGCTGACCTCTTGTCTTACCCCCCCCCCCCCCAGGACTGCGATGTTCCCAGCCCAGCGAGAGCTGCATGAATGGCGGGAACTGTGAAGTATCCCCCAACGGCACGGAAGCCTGTGTGTGAGTACGCGCCCCTGCGCCCCTGTGGGGACCTGGTGCTTTTGTCGGGAGCAGAGCCCCTGCCTTCTGCAGCGGGGGCCCGCGGGGACAGAACACTGGGCCATTGTCTTCTGGAGATGGCCCAGAAGGCTGGGCGCGGTCACGTGTTACTTTTATTGGACAAAGTCTGGCAATTACTTAATCACCAGCAATTATGCTGCGTGTGGAGCTGGTCTGGCCGCTGGAGGTTCGAGCACGCCTTTGTGGGCCACCTTGGGCTCCTGGGGTGCTAGTCGGGAATTCCCGGTACCCTGCTTCTTGCTAAAATCCCTAAGAAACAATGACCCGCCAGGGAGGCTGTGGACCTTCTGGAGCGGCCCAGCCCCCGGGCCACCCTGCCCACGGGGAGTGCCTCCTCCAGGCAGGTGAGTGCAGTGCCTCAGGCAGAAGTGGCTATTTTAATGCCAAACCCACCCCCCTGGGCCTTCGGTCTCGCCCAGCTCACCTTGTCTGACCTCAGGTGAGGTTGGGGGACCCATCTCCCAGGTTGGGGGGTGGCTTGGCTTCTGTCACGGCATCTACAGCTCCGACTCCCGAACCCTCCATCCAGTCCATCGCCCACCCAGCGTTGGGTCCTTGGCTGGGAAACCAGCGTGTCGCGTGTGTATGTGTGTGTGTGTGTGTGTGTGTGTGTGTGTGTGTGTGTGGCACAGCCCGCAACCCACCCTGATGGGGCAGGGGGCGTGTTAGAGTCCGCGCCCTCCCTGTGCGCTCTGGCCCCGGGAAGTTTTTCTCTCGTGGTTGACTTTGTCCCTGGTGGGAAATATGAGGAGGTGCTTGGTGGCTGGAGAAAGGGCCCCCCCCCCCATGGAGGGGGGGCTAGAGGGAGAAGTGGCTCCCCAGCCGTCCTCCATCCCGGTCCTCGGCGTGCCGCATTCCCACTGCTCAGGGCCCCTTCCCTTGACAACCCTTGGCCCGTGGGCTAGCAGCCCCCCCTTCACTGCCCCCACCCTCCCCGAACTGAAACCAATTAAGCAGGTCTGTGAGCAGTTTCATAGACAAAGAGGATTGTGTCTTTGTCAGATGCTAATGAATGCACACTACTTTTTTTTTTTTTTTTTTTTTTGCTTTTTTGGGGCCTTTTTCTTCTCCTGCAGAAGCCTCACCGACGCCTGATGCCCTAAATCTTGCTTCCTTCCATTCAGAGACCGACAGCTGGGATTCAGGGGAAGCGCAGCGGCTATTGTCGGGAGGAGGATTAATGCTGTGTGATTAATTATGCGTGGCTTCCCAGAATGCACGACTCCCTTCCCGCCTGCCCCACGCCCGCTCTGGCCCTGTGCTCACCCATGGGGCCTGGGGGGTCTCCGGACCTGTGCGGAGGGCTTTGGGAAGGCAGGAGGGGTCTCTTTGTGCCACGGGGGAGCAGGGACAGACTGGCCCAGGGGACCCTGGAGTCTCTCTGGGCTGGAGCCTGGGCCACAAGGGGGCTACTGCAGCCCCCTGCTTGCGTTGGGGTGAGACGCTTCTAGGGGACAGGGCGACAGTGTGCGTGCTCCCCACCCCTCCGACCAAGCCAGGCCACTGATCAGGGCTTGGGCGCCGGCCTTGTCTCCTCCCTGGGGCCTGGGGCCCCCTCCTTGGCGGGAAGCCTGCCTCAGTCTGGCCTGGCACTCGGCCGAGCTTGGCCCACAGAGACCCCATTGTGCACACCCCACAGATCCACTTGGAAGACGGAACGGAAGTGCCATTCTCAGAGGCCCCACCTCTGGGTGGCACTGTGCTGGAGCCTGGGGACCAGAGCGGGGACGGGGCGACAGCCGGGTCCAGCTGCGGAGGGGCACAGGTCTGGACCCATGGTGCGGTTTGGGGACCTTGTGGCCGCTCCCGTGAGGGGCCCTGGCTCCCTCTGCCCCTGGGGCCTGTGCCTCTGGCTGGGCTCTTCTGTTCCCGTGAAGCCCCAGAGGGTCTGCTATATGGGTGGCCTGGCCCTTGCGGCTGAGCGGAGAAGACACCTTCCTTCCTCAAAGGTGTTGGGGTACGGGCTTCTGGTGCCAACCTGGGTGGAAACTCCGACTCTGTAGCATTCACCCCGGCCTCTCGGAAGGTTCTTTGACTTTCCGAGCTGGTCTGCTGGCTCCCCTAGGGATAGGGTGTGGGAAACGGTCGTGTCACAGTGCCCGGCGCATTAGTACCTGGTGAATCATCTGTTTCCACCCCAAAAGAGAAGGAACCTTCCCCAGAAGCCGCTAGTCAGGTGGCTGCAGGGCTCAGCATCGGAAAAAGAGGTTTCTGTCGGCGTGAAAGCGCTCCCAGGGTGTCACCGAGTAGCAGAGGTGTAGCGGGCCCGTGGCTGCGGAGGAAAGACCCGCCGCCTGTCCCTGTGGGCAGAGCGCCATCCCTGCAGGGCTGCTGTGCGGGGTGGCCCTGCAGGCAGGCCCGGGGGGGGGGGGGGTGGTCATCGAAAGGCTTCTGGGGCCTGCCTGGTCCTGGACTGGGAGCGGAGGCCCCAGGGTTGCTGGGACAGTCTCCCTGCCCGCGGGAAAGTCTGTTCCACTGGGCGCCTTCCAGGTGATCGCAGAAGCGGAGTGAGCCATCGCGCTCAGAGGGCAAGTCCAGCTGGCTGGCCGGTGGCGGGCTTTAGCTTTGGACCATCCGGTATTTGAGGCCTGGCTGCGCCACCTGCTAGCTCTGTGACCCCAGGTCGTCGGGCCGCCGGAACTCAGGTTCCCCGTCGGTAGTGTGGGGCCGACACGATCGATCTCTCCGCGGCACGAGGATTGCGTAAGAGCGGCAGGCTTTAGAGACCGGCTGAGCGTCCGTTTCTTCCCTGCCTTCTCCTTTTGAGCTGACAGGGCTGGTTTCGGGATCCTCCTTCTCGAATGTTCAGTTGGCTAATGAGTGAATTCGGAGAAGCCAAAAGGTGCTGCCTGGTGGGCCCAGGCCGGGTGCTGCGTGGGGAGGGGCTCCTGGGGGTTTTATCACCTGCGGGGACTCTGATCAGCAGTCCTGTCTGCTTTTTCCCCAAAGACACCTTTGAGCACCTGCCGTGTGCTGGGTTTTCTGCTCATGGCCGGCTCAGGTCAGACACAGCCCCTGCCCCCACGGAGGTGACTTTCTAGTGTGGGGACAGGAGAGGTGACAACAGTGCATGTGACCTGTCAGGCGGAGGGGAGCTCAGCGTGGCTTGAGCCTGGCCTGACGTGGCTCCCAGCAAGCCCGCGGCACCATGTGGGGTCAGGCCTGGGGTGGGGGTGGGGTGGGGGGGTAAGCGAGCGCAAAGACCTCGCGGCTGCCGGGATCAAAGAGTGCGGAGTGGCGCCTGGCCCGGCCTCTCTCTTTCGCTCCGAAGCGAGTGTTCTAACCACTGCCCTGTCTTGCCTGCACTGCCCGAGGCCTCCGTGGCCAGTCTCCGAGGAAGCGGGGCCGGACGACAACTTCCCTTTAGAAGAGGAGGTTCAGAGGCTCCGGCGGGAAGTGCCTTGGCCCTCCGCTTCCGGGGGACCTAACGTTTCGCGTCTCCTGCCACCCAGTTTGGATGTTTCCATTGAGTCACCTGGGAGTCTTGGGCGAGGCTGGGGGACGAACAGGTGAATTCTCAGGTCTGCTCCAGGGCTTCCTCTGTTTATGCGGCTTCAGCTTTGGGGCCAGGTAGGAAAACACATGTCAGACACCCACTGTGAACCAGAACGTTCTCCCCTGCCGGGAGACGCGGCAGGGAACGTGCCTTCTTTACAGGAAGGTGCCTCTTTGGACGGGGCCCTGCCTCTGAACGGCGGCTAACGTTTTTTCCACTGAAAAGAAATACGAATTTTTTTTTAAAGAGAAAGGAAACTATGCCCTTAGCAGGAAGAGGGTGGGGCGGGCCGAACCCTTGGCTGGCAGAGGAGAAGCCCTTCATCAGGACGTCGGGGGGCACAGTCCGGGTGCTGGGACTCCCCAGACGATGGCGGCGGGAGAGGGCCCGTGGGACACCTCTGCTCCACCCCGCTAAGGGCCAGAGTGCAGCGTGAGGCCCCCGCAGGCCGGACCCCAGCACCGACCCCCCTCCTCATTCTCTGTGCCTTCGATGGGGATGGGCGGCGGGGCCCCCTGGGCAGTGCCTGGCTGAGGGGTTGCACCCTCCTGGGGTGGGGAGGGCACCTTTCCTGTTTCGTGTCTTGTCTATAAATAGTGAAAGGATGTGGCTTTGTCGAGTTGATTGAGCAGCTAGATTGCTTTCCTCAATAACGTAACACTAACAACTCCACGCACAGACAGCTGCTGTTACCCGGCCTCATAAAACCCCTGGCAGACGGTTTACTCCACTGGCTCACACCCCCTCCAGGTGGTGGCCAGCTCTGCTCTGCTCGGCTGCTTTTTCTTTTCATCGCCAGTTTACAGGTGGGAAAAACTGAGGCTGAAGGGAAGAGGCGGGGCAGGAGGGGGGGCGGATCTGAAGCCGGCTTACGTCAGCTCTCACCTTCGTGTGCAGGCTCGTCCAGAGTCCCAGAGGCTTTTACGAGCAGCTGGCTTCGCGGCATCGTGACCGTGGGTCAGGATGTGTTTGATGACCCTGAAGTTTCCCAGTGCTGCCGGGGCCTGACCGTCTCTGGTTGGGTACGCGGACCCGGGCCTCGGTTTCCCCCTCTGTACGTGAGGGAGCTGGGTTTGGGGGCTCCTGGAGTTCTCCTGCAGGTGCGGCCCAGCAGGACCCCGGCACAGGCCTGTAAACGCCTGGGTGGTGGCCACAGGTGGTGGGGGCGGGGGTGCCCGGGAGTCAGGCCTCCTGCCTGGCAGGTTCCGCAGGTCTGGGGCCAGGGCCAGGGCTAGGCTCCGGTGTTCTCACCACCTGGCCCACCCGCCAGGAGGGGGCGGGTCCCTGCAGAGGGGGCCGCGGTTGACAGGTGTTCTGGAGGAAGGCCCTTCTCTGAAGCAGCCTGGGCGGGCTTCTCCTGGAGACCTCGCCCCGCCCCACCCTGCTCCTGGGACGCAGGTTGACAAATAGATTTGGGGGGCAGTGGATACCCGTATGGGGGTTT